ATGCCAATCTGATCAGCACTGATAGGCTTACGCTTTCGGACTTTTACGTAGAAGCTGAACTGGCCTCTGGGGCACTCACGACACACTCAGTCATTAACTTAAGATCTGGTTTCTGAACTTCATTCTTTCAGTTTATGTGGCCATCAGCTGAAATGTGATATAAGTGCCCTTCTAATGAAGATTGTGAGAGCCTTTCCCTTCGAGCTGTCTTTTCAAGTTGCTTCGGCTACTGACTCGCATCGTGGCATTCTCTTCCGAACCTCCTAGTTTCATAGAAGGCTACTCTGGGGAGTTCATCTTACCGAGGTGGCCGGATGTTGGGATGCTACCAGACTTGTCTACAACATTATTTAGATTCTTCAGAGTTCTTTCTTTTTTTTTGTATTGTGTAGCGCATCCTGGGTTGAGGAATATGTAAATAAAAAAGTAAATAAAAAGTGTAGACTGCGAGTATATTTGTCGATGTATCCTCAGCTTATCCACCAACTCGTCTAAAAATTCCCATTGGAAATTCGCTCCCTATTCTTTTTACTTGCTTTCATAATTTTTCCTCTTTTCTCCTTCAGTGTGTTCCTTTTCAACTCCTCTTCAACGATAAAGAGCCTGCAGCGAATGAATAGAATCGCCAAAAAATCGTCGAACTATCATAATTTGTTGGACCCTTCGAAAGCACTTCAAACATAGTAGAAATTTCACACGACACAGCCACATCGTCAGCTTTTCCTTTTCGCACTCGAAAAAAAAAANAAAAAAAAATCAAATCGGCGTGACTTACAGCTCAAAAAGTAAATATTTGAGCATGCCCAAAAGCAGATTGTACTGAAAATAAAGTGCAACGTGAAACATTTGATTGGCTTCATGGCTTTGTACGATGGATTTCGAGAACAAGTTGGCATTCGAGCAGGAATTTGCATTCCTAAAACCTGCCCGTACACAAGAAAATGCTCTCTGAGATTTCTTCCTGATTTAATCTGCGATCCATGATGATCCCTACGGATAGCAAAGAAATGGTGTATGGTCGAAAAACGGCCTATGTAGATCGTAATAAGGGTCCGAAATCTGCTTAGCCGTTGCACACACTCAAAGGTATAAGTTCTTACTGTGGCGAAGAGGCTGTAGTGGTTGCACTATTCTCACCGGGACCCTTACGTTGATGCAGGCCGCTTACTGTAGCCAGCTGTAAGCAATGGCAGCAAGCTCCTTCAAATATTCCTCCCATGCACCTTATGTCGTCACATTCTCGTCCAGCTCCTGATTCCACTTCTTTTTTTGAGGCCTGATATTTCCTTGAAAACGCCGATTTTCGCATTTCCTTCGCCTTGACCATTCTTGACCATCAATTCCATTACTAGATAAGCCAAAATTATTGTGAATTGGTCCTTTAAGGCAGAGATGGTATCATTTTACTCGGTGGAGCAAGTTCCTTGATCTGGGAAGTGATTCATTCCGTCGTCTGCGACATCACTTCTTTTACTCCACCTGCCTACCTTGTTTTCAGCGAAACCAAGCTTGCCAGGTTCGAAGCAGTTGCGCGGGACCGTCTCAGTGCACTAAATCCGTTTCGGCAGAATACTAGCTTCTTGACTAGTGGTTACCCTTGATGTTCCGAGCCATAGGTAATGCGTAAGAAACAGGAGCATCTCCCATACTGAACAGGTAGCCTCTGAGTGGAGAAATACCTAAGGTTGGTAGAAATCGGAAGCAAAAACATTTTTGGAAATTGGAAAGCAAAAGAAACCGCCCTACTAGCGACTGTTTCTTGAAGGCACTGGAAACACACATTTTCCATCTTTGTTTCATGAATATTCAATATGTGGTTGCCTACGTACACTTCACCTTTCTGATACCTCTCTCACCGCCAACAGCCATTACGTTGCTTTCCTTTTTTGGTCTTTTTACTCAGTCAGGCTCAGAGTTAGACATTGTTTAGTGTACTCCTCCTTAGGACTCATTCTTGAGTAAGCGGGTGGATTTGAAGAAAACAACTCCGCACCGTCACAATCACTTGTATATTAGTCCTTTGTGAGAAGGAAACAAAGTACCGAAACGAAGGAGCTCAGCAAATAGAACTCATGGGAAGGGATAGAGCAGGAAGCCTAAGTATTCCTCAGACTAGCAAAAGGAGATAGCTGAATAGCCCAGAAGGAGAGAAAACGTATGACGCAGGGTAGAGGGACCATCGACTCTGGGCATCAGAGCTGCCCCACTGAAGCTGGGAAGTTCTCTGGGAAGTGTACGGAAAAACGGAATGGAGCCATAGATTCTGGAATCACAATAAGCGTGTCGAAATGTGACTACATGGGGATATTTTCAATCTCATGACGTCATGATGGGATCCCTACTGCAATGAGCTTGGCTTTGGTCCCAGCCAAGTCTTTGGTCCACACATCACCGAGCTCATGGTTAATTATTAGCCATGAGCTAGGTGATGTGTGGATCTTGATCCGGTTCGATTCGATGGCTCATGATGGTCTTTCTCGCTTGCGTCAACCGGCCGGCCATCCATCATTTGAATCGCAAACAAATGCGGAAAGATGACGGCTCTAGTGCAAGCCCCACTACTGTTGATGCTGAAGCCGACGGACGACATAAGAAAGCCTCTTCAAAGCGATCGCTACCTTTTCTCACACCTTTTTTCCCCACTCGTCTTCCGTTTACACCCAAGCAATCCCGAGCCGGATTCGAGAGCAGCGGCCTGTCCTCTTTTTGTCTAATGAGGTTCTCTTCGCTAGAAGTTCTTCACACCACCTCATCGCCTCTTCTGTTCGGATTGAGACCGTGATTCTAAAAGGGCTCGTTACGATCTCTTATTGTTTTTTAATTTGAAACTTCGAGATTGCTCATTCGACTTTTTGGCTTTTCTTGCAACCCTCCTACGCCCTACAAAAAGGATAAACTCGTTTTCTTTGTTTCCCTCTTCCAGCCTTCCCAAAAAGCACTCATCCGGAACGGTCTACTCCAACCAAACTGAACCCGCTTTCAAAGTAGGGCAGATACACGTTGCCCCTTTTTTCGAAAAAAAAAATCAAAATTAAGGGACAACTGGTACAGTATTTTCTATTTGCTAGAAAGGAACCACTAATGAGAGTAATGGGAACATTGAGAGGGTACGGGTGTAGTATCACATCCTCTTACCCTTCGAGATTGGTTCTAATTGAGAATAACCCCAAAAATTATGATAAGGAACTGTAAGCGATAAGACATCGACCCAGATTCAGCCCTGTACTTACTAACAAGTATAGTTACAACATTATTTCTCAAAGATCAAGGGCAACTATTGACAGACATAATTTCTTGTTATTTGTACATTATATGTAACTTATACTTTCTAAATTCATGTTTTGTCGGACATAGCTACATGAATGCCACAATGTTTAGAAAAAATCATTTTTTTGTGCAAGTTTTTCGAACTTTTGGGTTCTACTGAGGTTTCCGTGTTGATTTCTAAACCTATCGATTTTTGGCTATGTTGCTTGAATTGTTTTATTCCCTTCTTTCTAGAATCGAGCCATTCTTGAAGCCATCGGAAAAAGTTTTCCAGATGCTCTCTGAATCCTTGAAAGTACATATATGAACTGAATATGCTCTTGCTAAGTGATGAATTTGATTATAATCGATAGGTGAAGCNGAAGTAAACAGTTTTTCATTGTGGTCCTCAATTCAATGGTGTTCTTTATATGGAATTCCATAGGGTACCACATCGAAGAGGCGCTACTGACAAGAACCCCCACCCTTTTAGAACGCATTTCAAATCGCTCCTCTTTGCAAAGTTATCGATATGATTCTGAAGTTCCAAACTTCTGAATTCTTAGTGCAACAATGATATCAGAGCAGTGTAGCCATCCACGTAACCTCTTCCTGTGTACTTTAGGGATTTACGAATATATATCGCGACTATCAAAAGTTCTTTTTTCAAAAGTTCCTCCAAGTGTCTTCTACTGACTCCCTTGATGGAACTCTCTTTCTTTCTTTTTGCAAGATCATTAGTTTACACATTAGCTTCATTCAGTTCTGTGGAGTGGCTCCCCACAATTATTATTGACAGACCCTACACCGAATTTGGGAGCACCTACTCATTCGTGGCGCAGTTTACTATTTTTCCTAAAGCTCAACCTTAAGTGAATCATAATGCATAGATAAACACGCTATATGTCGGTTGTTCAGAGTGATTTGGTAAAGATTACACAAAACCATTGTTTATTTTAGACAATCATTCGGCATTATCAACCATACGGCTCGCCTTTGTTGGAATATTGTTTAGATTTTCTTTGGATATTCAAGATTAGCTTGTGCAGTGAGGACAAAGACCTGACTGGCCCGGATGACTCTCGATCCTGTGGATCAGGCAGATGCAGCCCCCTCACAGTATTCGTAAAACTACTTCGGCTTTGAACTTTGCATTGATATTTTGAGTATTAATATTCTGATATAGTTTCTTGCAAAGAGAGCTTCCTGTAAACTCTTAATGAGCGCTATTTTTCACGCACCCACCTGGGAAGCACAGGTACGGGTTACAGATTCCCTGACGCTAGGCGTTTTGCCCATAATGATAACTTTTGTGGCCTTTCTCCTTGAAGAATCTCGATTTGCTATTTGCTTCAAGCCGTTTTCTAAAAGAACCACCTCCTGTCAAAAATTTTAGAGCCAGTCTGTTTGAACAAAAATGATTTCTGTGCAGAGTTTTGAGAGATACGTCGATTGGTCGATTGTCTAAACGAAATTTGTTTCTCCCAGTAGTCAAAGCCAGTTTTGTTTTGAAAAACTTCCAAACCCAATGAAATCTCCATCGATCATACGAAAGCGACTTTGAATCTGCCACAAATCGCCAGTGCCAATGCCACAAATTTGGTCATTCCCTTTCATTACACTCAGATCGTCCTCCAATCTCCAGTTTTCTGTCCGTCTGAATTACTTCTATCGTTTGACTGCAAATTAGAACGGTCAAAATGTGGGTGTACATTTAAAATCATCTATTCAGGTTCTAATCCAATGTACTCCTAATGACTGCATCTAATTCGATTCGGTCACGTTTTATGAGACTGATTTTCGGTAAGATTTTATAAACTTTCGACTATAAATTATCACCATATTATATTGATGATAATTGATTATTTTAAAGTTTTGGATTGATTGGTATCTTGTTTTAAACTTAGTAGACCCTTTTCTTCTAGACAAAGTGGTCCTCACTTTGCAATTCTATAATACCTCGAAATTGGCGTTATCCGCCTCTTTTCTCCATTTATTCTTTCCTCTCTTTTTTCGCTTCCCCCGATTTGATACCCTTCGTTTCCTCCTTGTTTTACAATATTTCTTCATGACGAGGGCGCCTGACCAATCTGAAAATTTATCGCTTTAACCGGGACTCGAACCCTGATTTGTACTTCCAGAAGTTATATCTTGAGTTGGCCGCAAAGCGCAATATCCCTTATATGAGTTTCTTTTTCGAATGAGTTTTTTTTTNTTTTTTTTCGGGAAATTTTAATATTCCTTACCAGATGCCGAGATATGTGAAGCTCTTGAACTACTCTTAGCAACCCTTGGCGACGAAAACGGTTTCCACGAAGTTGTCGACTGCATCACTGCATGGCAGGTGAGATCTTTTTCAATTTAATTTCGCTGGTGCCAAGCAGGATTTCTATAATTCAAGAAAATAGCAATCTGAATTCGAGTTCAGGTCTCCCACTTAGGCGTCTGGGAGTTTAGTGTAATGTCTCTATTACATCGGTTGATCTCGGCCCAGTGAATTTTGAAGTATATATGTAGAGGCCATCAGTCACCGAATACTATTTAATGACCCATTTTTTTGTACAATTGTACGCTTGAATGTAATAAATAAAATAAAATAAAGCTATATAAATATGTAGGGGTATATTCTTGTAAATTGACATGGAACTTTTACTGAAACATACAATTGCCATCGAACCAATGAACAATGATTGAAGGATTGGATATATCGAAGAGAACCCTTCTTTTAATCACCTTAATCAGAGCCCGGCTCGGTTCTAGCTTAGGTCAATCAAGCCTTCTATTTTATTGGTACATAACTCGCATGGGAGCATAAAAGCTGTTCCAAGATTTACAAGTCTTCTATCAGCTATTGAGACCAGTTACGAATCTAACGACAGCTTTGGCTAGTTGATGACTGAGTTTTGACCTAATCTCAGGCTGGAGATGGTTTATTACCGAAGACTAGGATTCCATTTGCAGGATCTTATCGACAGTGAGGATTCGGCGTTACGACCTCTTGTTGAGTGTCTCGACGATGACGACACTGTCGTGTTGCAAAAAGCTATCGCCCTTGTGAATGCACTGATTCGTCATGCTCCTGATGAAGCACGTGCTTTTAGAATCAAAAACGAACTCTCAGGTCAGTCCCCTTTTTGCGGTGCTCATTTCCGGGCGCCATCTGGGCATGATCACTGCCATTTATACTTCAAAAATTACTTTTGTTGTTCCTTTGGAAAAATAGTCTGAAGCCACATAAGGTTGGGACAATTCGTTGTACTGAGCAGAAAAGGAGTGAAAGAGTAGCAGCCATATGATGCAGGTGGCTACTTCTGCGGTCTTAAACCGTTTACCTTCGGAAGTTAGTAAATAGAATGCTATGTGATTTGTCGTGACTGAGTGCCGTTTTTACTACCCACTGAAAAGGGTAAAGGTAGCGTAATGGTAAGAAGCGATGCACAGAATGCGCAAGATCAGTGGGATCCAACTTTAATGGGATGGAGTTGGGCTCCCGTCCTTAAGGGAGCGATTGTTTGAGACTAAGATTATACGGTGAGTAAAAGCATCAGTTTATGAATGGGGCAATTTCTGAGACATCAGTTTCTCCAGCAGTTTCTCCAGGAAATACAGGTTGACCCATTCCCACATTAGCGAGCTGAAGTCGTAGTCTATTATTAACTGAATTTTCACTTGACAAACTACTGTTGAGAGACTTCAAAAAGCAGAGTGTTTCAAAATTACACTGCATTTTACTCAGAGGATTCGGGGATATTACAAGCTCCATTTTACGCCTAGGAATACTACCAAATGAAATGGGTAGACCTAGTTGGTTTTTGGAAAGCCCCAACCCCGCTTGCACACTTTCATTTTCTCTTCCATTGAGATGCAGTTACTTGTTGGGACGTCGTTTCTGTGAGTTATCTATGACAACTGCGATTGCAGTAGAAGAAAGGTGTAATTTCAGGGCCAACTTGGCAGTAAGGTTGAACGAGTTGGCACTTCTTGATGACCTTTCGCTCGCTCTCGCTGGTCGCCACTTTTCATGTTCGCTATATGGCACTTCTTTCGCTCTTCGTTAATCTTCTTTCGGAATTTTTCTCGCAATTCCATCTATTTTATGCCCTTTCTTGGGAGATCGATCGGGGAAAAAAGAGTTTTGGCCCACGAATTGAAGCTATGGGTATAGAAAGAAACAATGGTCAACAGATTCGAACTTTTTCTGCGCCACACATTCTACCCCAATTCAGAACTATAAAGGCTTTTAAAGGCGTGTTCCGCTCATATAATGGCTTGTAGAGGACGGCCGCTGTATAAGTCAGTGCTTTAGCCTTCTAGAGAAATCCTGTACCAGTTAGTCGACTGTGGGTGATTCGTTTGGCATACTCTCCGGCTATTCAATAAAGGTCTTTCGCATAAACATAGGTACATCAACTCGTTGATAAATCAGTAACCATCCGAGGGAGGCAATTGTGATGTCTATTGTGTTATCCTTCTGACAATGAGCTCATTCAATCCGAGCTACAGTAGAACTAACTTTGTTAATCCATAATAAAGTAAGCACGTGTTTTCAAGGATACCTTGACATAACATTTGGATCCCAACAGAATAGCAAATTGCTTGAAAAAGGTGAAAACACTTTACATACTTTGACGGCATTGACAGAGCGAAGAAATAGTCATTCGCAGTACAATGAGGAAAGTTCAAGCATTCCTAGGATGAATTGCGTTGTTTCGTTGGCATCCTGTTCGGGGAACACCCAACCTTGTTGTTCGTTCACCTTGACAAGACCTCGTCGATGACTGTATGGTCACTTCCTAAGGTGTCGGTGATGTGTCGTTAGAGTAACTGTCTAAATTGATGGCTTTTTTTTCGAAGCGTCGTGAACCTTGTTGAGGTACTCCTTGATGCCCCCGTGTTTTCTTGGCTTTCGCCGCTTCCGAAAATTGCCGAAATAACTTGCGCTTTTGGCAGTTAGGCAAGACGTTCTCTGAAAAGGCCTTTTATGGGCTCCATTTGGGACAGTGGAATTCACTAAGCCACTGAGAGAGCTGGAAAACTCTCACGCAGTAGAACAAAACAGCTCTGAACCGAGGCGCTCCTTTCAGTTCTCCTAGACAGATAGTTTAAAAACAAGCAAACATCGGGTTCATACTTGATCCACTAACCGATTACGGTAAAGGGAAGGTGTTACAGTATACGATCTCTGAGATAACAGAATGTTCTTCAATTTTGTTGGAACAATTGTTTACCTGCTTATTTATTCACCCTTTTACTATTGCACTGCATTATTGTTTTCATTTATGTTCTTAATCAAGGGTTGTTTTTTTTATTGAGTTATTTTTCATTTATTTGTCACTTTCTTCAAGTTGAAAATTCCTATTTGTATATTTATCACATTGCTTAATAGCATACTATATTATTGATCTTTATTTGTGATTATAGATTTGAAAAATTCATGTGTTTGTTTATTTATTTACCTGTTTATATATTTATCAATTTATCTTCTGCTACGATATAAAAAAATTTGGTTCCATCAAAAGTGAAGAAAATTCGGATTATTTACATTTACATTATTGTTAACTAGCATTTACAGTTCCTGTGCGAATGTTACCAAGGGAGTGCTGGGTCATTAGCAGAGAACTTAGATTTACTGGAGACTTTGAATGGAATCGTTACCTCCTACACGCCGACCATAAGATCGGAGGCTCAAGAGAAACCTGCTGTTCAATTACATAGGTTCGAGNCCCCACCTTTCCTCTGTTCAGCGTACCCTTGTGATGACTCTGTCCTTTTTTACAGCTGTAATCACATACTTTTTGCGTGAATCATGTGAAAATTCGGAATGAAGCAGTACCAGCTACAGGATTTGTAAGAAGGAAACTAGACTGATTGTACTCATCACTTCGCATTCGCTCCCTTTTTATATGGAACTCTTGCTTTATTACATGCATTCGTGATGGCTAAGGAAACAGTTTTACAACATAGTAGGTAGGGATTAATGTTTGGGAAGAACCTGTTATCCTTTCTTTATTGAGCCCACCAGGGTGAGAGTTGTTGAAAAAAAATTAGAGAAAATCATTTTTGAGATTCGCTCACTAAGCAAGCCTTCCCGGATGCGGAGAGAAGGGAGCCTCAGAAGTCCAGGGATTCTCGGCTGACCTTCATACTCCCTAGGGGCAGCATTGTTGTTAGGGTTAGCGTCACGTGGCGTAATATACCGTAATCAGAAGGCAGTATTACGTCAGATAAGTGGGAGAATGAGGCACAGGGTACACCGTTTCTACTCCTCAATTCCTACTTCATTATTTTCAGCTATCCTATCTCTTTACTTCTTTTTCCAACTTATTTTTACTCCTTTTCATACATTCTCTATTCATCAGCCTTGTGAGACGTGCCCTGACATTTTGAAAAGCATGAGTGGGACGGGATAGTGGTTATGATGACGAATGGGGTTTCACAGCTTTTTGTGGTGGGATCTATTGAGTACCGTAGTAGTCTTGCTTCTATGAAATTATCTGGATATCGCAGAGCTTCTGAGTCGACACCGTTTGCTGACTGCTTAAGGAACTCTCCCATGCGCTTTCCTGCATTTTGAGCTCTTCCCTCTCAAAGTGCCACTGGTTCTCACCGGATTTCGAGCAGTAACCATTTCGAACGAGGCGGATGGATTCATGCGACTTTTCGTTCGCATTCGTTTGGACGGCTTCCGAAAAAGGGCAGCTTTTCGGGAGTCGTTGACGTCAAGGTGGCAAGCGAGCGTTCGCGGCGAACGCTACTTGGTGGTTAAGAAAGAGGCGGTATGGACGACGGCGCTTCCATTTTGATTCACACCGCCACTACGTCAACCAGCTGATATTTTCCTCTGGGGAATACTTCTGTCGTATAAGCGATGTTTTTGCGAATTTCGGGTGAATGATTGCGGCAGCTGGACATAGACCTCTTTTCAGCCTTTATGGAGTCGTCTTATCTCTCCTTTTTTTCTTATTCTACAAAATGATCGAGTTGTCCTCTGAGGTTAGGTTTCTGATCCATTTCCCAGATCTGAGGCAATTCCTCCCTCGTGTACCTTGGTTCGAAGCCTTTACTTCAATGATGATGCCACCGTTTACCACTTTTAGTGAAAATTTGCTCTCGCGGCTTGGCATTGCGCTTGAATGAGGTGTTGCTTTGGAAGCAACCAAGACCAGTTTTCGAAATCTTTCAGAAATTTGAAAAAATCCACTCATACTTCGGGAATATGTATGCTAGAAAACGTGTAAATGGGGGAACTTGTGGATTATTTTCCCACTCATTAGAGCAGTAGTCAAGGTTGCATTTTCCTGTAAAGAACAAACTCTGCGGTCCCACTCGGATAGGCTCAAACTTTGCAGGTGGAATAGAAAATTTCGCAAGCTTTGTGATTGTGTTCCCACCGAAATAATGAAATGAATTCACAAAATCGACTTGTGATGCATTTATTTCAGTCCAAAGCCCCTTTATACGATTGATGGTTTAGAATTCTTTTGAATGAAAGGAGTTTCGGGGTTTATTGGCTCCTTCTACTGAACACCTACATAGAACCCCTCTACAACTATGAAAGTCTAAAATATTATAAGTCAGTACATACTTTTCACCTTCTTCAAACGTCCTGCAGTCAGGATCCCGCTATTAACTCGCATTCAGTCAAAGCGTTTTTGGTTTACACAATGACTTGGGACGGCCAGCCGGTACAAGTCAGTGCTTTTCACCTTCTTCAGCGGTCTGCTACGGATTGGTCGACCCTGAAGGGATGGGAGCCTTGATTGTCCTCAGCGGATATCGGAGTAGATATGAATAGAATAGCCTTCTGAGAGGGATTGGGTAATTTCCTTTCCAGAGATGGATTGGGTAAAAATGCTTTGAACGAGAAAGGAGGTCCCCAGCATGTGAAAATTGCAAAAACTCAGTGGCTTCCGCACTACCGCTGCAAAGAGATTTGTTTTGATTTGTCCCAGCTTAAGGATGCAAATATGAGAGCAGCAGTAAGTTTGTTTATTTTTGTTCAAGGACGTTGGTGAATTTACAAAGGACTTTTCCACATGTATACATATGCTCTTGCTTTCCTTTTTTGGCCACCCTTGTACTTTATGGGCTTCATTAAACAGCACTTGATCTCCTGCTTCA